TGAGGACTGCCTGAGAGGGGGATATGTATTTTATATGTTAATTGAAAATAATTCTTGCTGTGCACTGTTGTTTAGAAATCACTGTATTAAAATATGAAAATAGTTACTCCTTTTAGTATGCCACCCTAAATCAAACACCCTAAATTTTGTGATATCGCTTAAAAACTGCAGCCGTCGCCTAATTGGTATATTTCAGCCCTCTGCAGATTTCAGCTGTAGATTTTTTTTGCATCAGCCTTATGAATGCATAGCATAGAAGGCAGCAGATCATAGCTTTTAGGATAGATATTCCCAGTTTCAACCTCTGGCAGCTGCTGAGAATTGAATTGATTACAGCAGGATGGAAATGCAATAAATGGATGAGGTAGCAGAGTAAATTTTACTTCATCAGTCAAGTAAGAACTTACTTTAGCAGATGCTTACTTGGATGGACAAATTATTGTAAAGTGAAATTACAGTACAAAACAACCACCTGTTTTTATTACCTGGGGATTTATCGCTGAAGTGGGGAAAAAATATAGCCCAACTTTTCCAAAACCGTGAAATGACCCCTACTAGCTGTGTTCTTGAAGCCGATTCAAATGAAATAAAGTCAATTGTTTTACAGTGGGAGTGGGAGTTGAATAAGTGGCGTAGCATGATAACCGTGACCTAATTATTCCAGTAGAAAAAAAAAAGATCATAAAAACCAATGGGCAGAACATTAAAACAAATAACCCAAAATTATTTGAGGTAGCACCTTGCCTAAGATCAGATCGGCTTCAGCTGTATTGGCGTTTCAACTGAAGACACGACTAGATATCCTGTGGAGGTAAGGAGCCTGCAGGATGGCTGTATTACTCATAAGTTGCTGGTTGACACTCCCATTTTTTTATGCTTTTGGTTAATATTTGCTTAACGCATTGTAAGCTGCCCTGAGTCTCCGGAGAAGGGCGGCATATAAATCAAATTAAAAATAAATAAATATGATTTTAGCTATTTTAATTTGTTTTTGTGGTTCTGAATACTTATATATATTCATGTTTTGTAATTTTAACTTTGTGAACCCCTTCCCTAAATCCCTAAATATAGGATACGTGGCTATATTTATTCCTGTGGGTCTTTGGCACTCTCGGAACTTGGTTGTTTTCTTCAGACATTTCATTACCCAACTAGGTAACATCATCAGTGCTAGTAAGGAATGAGGATTGCTTTCTGTTCATATACAAGTGGCTTGCCCTATCTAAGTTGGCGGGTGTTCTTGGTAGTTCCTTGATTCGGATATTATTTGCTGTTAGCTTATTTGTCTGAGTTCGTAGTTCCTTGATTGGGGTACTGTTTGCTTCTTGATTGTTGGTCGAATATTAATTTTAATTTAAATCTCTGCCTATCTGGATGTTGATTGCTGGTAAAGAGGTATTTTGGACTTTTTGTTTCCTTCTTGACTTTTTGAATACTGTGTCGGTGTTGGTGCTCAGAGTATTCTCTTCTCCACAACTCCATTGCTCTCCACAAGATGTCACTATAGGTTTACCATAAGGTGGCAAGAGTTGTGTCAAAACCGCATCCCATTGACTCTGCTTGTTGCGAATCGGCTGGGAAAGTCACAAATGGCCATCACATGATCTGAGATCGTGCCATCCTTGTCAATACAGGTAGTCCTTAACGTACGACCACAATTGAGCCCCAATTGTGGACTACCTGTACCTGCGGGCTGCCAAGCGCCCCAATTTTGATCACAGGACTGTGAAGTACGCCGTCGCAGTTGTCTATAAGGGTGAGGACTGGTTAAAAGTAACTTTTTTCAGTGTCGTTATAATTACAAAAGGTTGCTAAATGAATGGTCGTGTAAGGTTTTTGAGTGCAGCTCAGAATCTGGTAAGTCCAATGAAACTCTGAACACGAGGCAACTGATAACCACTTTTATTTTTCTGATCGGAAAGCAAAACTGGGCGACCTTTTTGTCTCCCACCTTAAGCAGAGCAGGCAGAGAGAAAAACAGGTGTGCGCGCACTAACTAAAACTTTTTTTCTTTTTATAGTCTACTACGCATATTGCTTGCGCAGATTGTCATTGCTATAGAAACATTATTTTATAGCCATTCGTTCACGCAAACCTCATGATTTTCTCAGCGCTCTGAAAACAAAGGAGGAAAAGAATACATTTTCTGGCATATTTTGTTAGTTGCAAAGTCGTGTCCGACCCATCGCGACCCCATCGACAACGTCCCTCCAGGCCTTCCTGTCCTCTACCATCCTCTGGAGTCCATTTAAGCTCACGCCTACTGCTTCGGTGACTCCATCCAGCCACCTCGTTCTCTGCCGTCCCCTTCTTCTCCTTTTGCCCTCCATCTTTCCACAGCTGAGCGTCCTTTCGGCTTTGGCCCAGTCGCTTCACTCTTTCTGGCGCTACTAGTACTAGCCCTCTTCTCTTCCCCAGTAGCATATTGGACACCTTCCAACTTGAGGGGCTCATCTTCTCGCATATCCCTTTTTCCTTTTGATACTTGTCCATGGGGTTTTCATGGCAAAGATACTGGAGTGGGTTGCCATTTCCTTCTGCAGTGGATCACGTTTTGTCAGAACTCTCTGCTATGACCTGTCCGTCTTGGGTGGCCCTGCACGGCAGAGCTCATAGCTTCATTGGGCTACACAAGCCCCTTCGCCACACACAAGGCAGCGATCCATGAAGGGGTTCTGGCCAGTGGTGAAATCCATTTTTTTTTTTTACTACCAGTTCTGTGGGCGTGGTGTGGCTTGGTGAGCATGGCAGGGGAAGGATACTGCAAAATCTCCATTCCCACCCCACTTCAGGGGGAAGGATACTGCAAAATCCCCATCCCACCCCACTCCAGGGGGAAGGATACTGCAAAATCCCCATTCCCACCCCGCTCCAGGGGAAGGATACTACAAAATCCCCATTCCCACCCCGCTCCAGGGGGAAGGATACTGCAAAATCCCCATTCCCACCCCGCTCCAGGGGAAGGATACTGCAAAATCCCCATTCCCACCCCGCTCCAGGGGAAGGGATACTGCAAAATCCCCATTCCCACCCCGCTCCAGGGGGAAGGATATTGCAAAATCACCATTCCCACCCCACTCCTGGGGGAAGGATACTGCAAAATCTCCATTCTCACCCCACTCTGGGGCCAGCCAGAGGTGGTATTTGCCGGTTCTCTAAACTACTCAAAATTTCCACTACCGGTTCTCCAGAACCTGTCAGAACCTGCTTCATTTCACCCCTGGTTGTGGCATATAGCCCAGAGTTTTGTTAGGGGGTGCTATCTCACATTAGGTTTGCTGAGAATACACATTTTAAGTTACAAGCAACAAGCTAACTTGGCAGCCTGGAGGCTTTATCTATACAGATCAAGCATTAGGTCACGATGGAGCTCCTCTCAGCAGCAAGGAATATCAAAAGCTGAGTTAGTTACACTCTGTATGCTCTAATCCTTTCCGTTGTAAATTGAGGACTACTTGGATTTCTCTGCAGAAAATTACATAATAAGGATCAAGTCAGAGAGCACAAGCTGTTTGGGGGTGGGGGGAAAGGCAGGATTGAAGAGCAAGCAGGGGCAGTAGAATAAATCAATGTTTTGCAACTGTGGCCGGGGATTTCTGGGAGTTGAAGTCCAACCCATCTCTTTTTAAAAAAAAAATAGTATTTATTGAATTTTCCAACATTTAAAACACAAAACACATATTTACACTTATAACAGCTTTTCCATATCCATATCTTTCGTAACAATCCTATTTACAAAAATTATATTTATATACATCGCTATCCTATGCTATATCCTTATTTAAATTATAATAATATCTACTCACAAATCAATATCATATATTTCTTATAAATTTTACATTCTAAATATATTATACTCTTTATGACTTATGCCTTAGGTTTTACCTTTACTCTCGAGCCAGGAATACCATCTATTCCAAATTTGATAGTACTCGGATTCTTCCCTCTCCTTCATTTCCATAGACAATCTATCCATTTCTGCACATTCATAGATTTTCCTTATTATCATGTGGTCTGGCTCAGGGGTCTCCAACTTTGGCAACTTTAAGACTTGTGGACTTCAACTCCCAGAGTTCCTCAGCCAGCTTTGTGGACTTCAACTCCCAGAGTTCCTCAGCCAGCTTTGCTGAGGAACTCTGGGAGTTGAAGTCCACAAGTCTTAAAGTTGCCAAGGTTGGAGACCCCTGGTCTGGATGAGTGTCAGTCGGTTTCCAATTCTGCGCTAAAGCAATTCTACTTGCCATTAATATATATATATAACGTTATGTATTATAATTATTTTCCCATCAAAAATACCGAAGAGAAACAATTCCGGCTTCAACTCTATCCTCTGTTCTTCCAGCCACTTTCTTATCTTACGCCAATACTTTCTGGCCTTGAGACAGGTCCACCACATGTGGTAGAATGTTCCCTGCTTGTAACCACATCTCCAGCACTCAGGCGATTGGTCCAACCCATCTCAAACTGTGCTTGGCTGGGGAATTCTGGGAACTGAAGTCCACAAGTTTTAAAAGTTGTCGAAGTTAACACTGTCCTCAATCTTTAACCCTCTTTCCCATAATCCCCACTGCTTTCTTGCAGGCTCAAAGATCATGAGGTGCCATAGAGCAGGGTCTCCAACCTTGGCCGCTTTAAGACTTGTGGACTTCAACTCCCAGAATTCCCCAGCCCAGCAAAGTTGGCTGAGGAACTCTGGGAGTTGAAGTCCACAAGTCTTAAAAGCGGAGACCCCCTGCCATAGAGTTAGCGTCAAGGGACCAAGGATATGAAAGGCCCTTTTCCTTCATGGTATTGCGTCAAGGGGTCTTCCTCGCAGCCAACAGAATGTGAATTCTTCAAATTCTTAGATCAGCCGGCGGAACTCACGCCGCCCCTATAGGAGAACACTACTAAATTGTTACCAAAACGAAGCCCGGGAGAGCCAGGCCGCGAGGTATCTAGGCAACCGAAGGATACCGGAAGCTGCGCTACCGGGCCGCTCTCGTTGGCGCTTCCAGCTCGCCACTGATTGGCAGAAAAGCCGGAAGGGGGCGGACTCAGCCGAGGCGGGAAGGAAAAGGATCGAAGTCGGAGAAAACGAGCGAAGAAGCGCTTGGAATCCTGAGGTAACTTTCCTTGCGCGCGCTGAGAAGAGGGGCGCGTATTGGCTCCCTCCGCGTTAGACGAGTCCAAAAACCGGGTGGCAGGTGGGGGGGATGGTGTGGGGAGTACAGCGCCTTTCGACTCTTCCATTCCGAAGGGAGGGGGGGTGGAAATTGTTTTAAACCATGCTCGTTTTTGCGCCTTTCAGTTTCTGCGCCATAAAAGGATTTTTGAAGGATCGAAAAGTGGGGGGTGGGGGGGCGGGAAATAAAATGTCCCCTCCAGCGTTTAGTGAGTCAAAAGTCTTAATTTTCATGTGGGGGAGGGGTGTTGGAAAGAAACCACCAGTCCCTCAAGTAAAGTTTGTTGTTTTATGGTGCAATTCCATATAAAAAAAAATTAAATCCTAAAATTTGGGTCCAGGCAGCCTAACTTCCATTAATTATTTAATTTTAATTTTCCATAGTCGGTTCAATAATATTCAAATCGCTATATATGTATGTATGTATGTGTGTATATATATATATATATACACACACATACATACATACATATAAACAAACTTACATATATATATATATATATATATATATGATGGAATTTAATATAATACTAGTAGTAATCATACTTTTCAGGCCCTCAAACATCCACATCTGCCTATGAACAAAAGGTTGAATATAAAATGCCAAATCCCATCGATACATCAGGCTGAAAGTGCAACAAATCACAATAAGAGATTCATAGAGACTGACTACAAGCAGCGGCATGTCAAAAATAGCAACAACTGCATCGGAAGAACTGCAAGAAATACCATGTGCAAAAACTGGTGGGATCATTAAATGGAGAAAAACATAGAAAATGAAGACTGGGACTTTAGAATACAAACTGACAGGTACCTGCCATAGAATACCTCAGACTTAACAATTGTCGTTAAAAGACAAAGGCAAAAATGTTAAGATAGTGGATGTGGCAGTACCTGGAGACAGCGGAAGAGAAAGAACGGGAGAAGATAATTAAAATACAAAGACCCCCAAATAGAAATAGAATGACTGTGACAAAAGAAAGCAAAGGTAGTAACAATAATGATAGGTGCCTTGGGTGCAACATCTGGAGCATCCTTTGAACACCCATCGGCATTGACAAATTCATCACCAGTCAATTGCAAAAGGCAGCTTTACTCGGAACAGCTGACATCCTGCGATGGTATCTTTAACACCATCCAAGAATGTCATTTGCCTATCCTGATTCCTTGGGAAGGATGATATAGGTGAATTTAAAAGCCAAATGCATTCTAAATATCTGGCTTGTTGCAGAAAAATAAAGGAGATGAATTTCGAAATCAAGAAAAAGCTTTTATTTTGGCCAAAAGGTTCAGACAGATTAATTAATCTGTTAGGTTCTGAACAACATTCAGTTATAAACACACATTTATACCCTTCAATAGTAGAAAAACAGGAAGAGCCTTGATAGTACAGTGGTCTAAAGCACCCTGTTATTAAGAACAGCTGCTTGCAATTACTGCAGGTTCGAATCTCGCCAAGGCTCAAGGTTGACTCAGCCTTCCATCCTTTCTAAGGTAGGTGAAATGAGGACCCAGTTGGGGCAATAAGCTGACTTTGTATAAATATACAAAAGAATGAAGGCTATTGCTTAGCACATTGTAAGCCGCCCTGAGTCTCCGGAGAAGGGCGGCATATAAATCAAATTAAAAAAAAAAAAAAGTATGTGAAATAAACCACCTACATGTTAGGCTCACCCCCTTCCCTTATCGACATGGCAAGAGGAATTAGCTAACTCTGTGGTTTAACTTTTTGAACCCAGCAACTGTCTCTTTGCCTGTGGTTTGACTTCTTGAACTCTGCAACTGTCTCAAGTCAAAGGGGTCCTTCAGAGATCATCCAGGCTGACCCGGTATTATTTCACTCTTATATTCAAATTTCACTTTATGTCCTACTTTAGGTTGAGTGTGCGATCAACAATATTAATAACTATGCCAAACACCCTGGGCACCTTACAAGATACCAAATAGACAATCGAAACAATTAAAGATTGGTCGTCCCACAGGTGCTTTTCCAAAAGACAGCTAGACTTTTGCCCAGTTGCCTTTTGAAAAAGAACCTTTGAGGCAACCATGACCTGGATGACTGAGAATCTCCATAGACCAGTGGCCCCCCCAACCTTTTGGGAACCACAGACCGATTCCATGGAGAGAGGTTTTTCTGCAGACCGGAGAGGGCGTGCTTTTACATGCTGCCTGCATCCCGCAGATGGGGCTTTGCTTGTTTGCATGGCCCAGTTGCTGACATGCTGCAGTCCGATGCCAGTCCAAAGATTGGGGGTTGGGAACCCCTGCCCTAGACTGTTGGAAGAAATGTCCATCTGGGTTCAGTTCCAAGAGGGGAGAAAGACACTGGAAACATGGGGACTGCTTGAAAAGATGGTTTAATGGTGGACGGGACCACATGGTTTTGAGGCCAAAAAAGGCACATGGATGAGGAGAGAGAGAGAGAGATTTTTACCCTCTGTTGGGCTTTGAATTTGAGCTTGTATTCTGATTGGTTGTCAGTCTCCCATGGGGCCATGCAGAGGTAACTTTGTAGGTTGTCTTTTGAATCCCAAGCTTGGTTGAATCTTGTTGGGTGATGTAATCTCCCCAGGTGCCATGTGGTGAGTTCTGTTGCTAGATGGGTAGAGGGCTAATCCTATCTTTGCTGGATCTTGGGTGAGGGCATTTGCTTATGAATAGACCTAGCTATCTCTTTATCCCTTAAGTGCTGACATCTGCCGGGGGCTATTGAGGAGGGTGGGGACTATTAAGAGTGAGTCTGCCTCCTGCCTATAAAACATGTTTCTCCATTTCTCATCCAGGGAAATATAATATTTTGCCTTTTCAATATTTCCTAGAATATTTCATTTTTCTATGAGAGGGGTGGGTGCTAACTTCCTACAAGACATTAAGATTGGCCACCCGGAGTCGTTTTCTGAGATCAGTGGCCATAAAAATTGAATAAATAAAAAATAGAACAAGTAAAAATAAGAAAATTAGCAGCCTGGACAAACAAAAAATAACCCTAACCCATCCAAAAACATGACAGGTTCCAGAAACGTGCCAATTGTACAATTAGAAATGTACATTATATATGGAAGATTTGTCTCTCTTTTCTGGCATAGTTCCACTCAGGTTGTTATCTCTCTAAAATGGTCCTGAGTAGGTTTTGTTTTCCATGTGGATTGTTTTGAGATGATTGCTAACATTTTGGCTTTGCTTGGCAGGTTTTTTTTTGACAAGACAGTAACAGAGATGGAAGGGACCTTGGAGGTCATCTAGTCCAACCCCTTGCTCACGCAGGAGACCTATATTAGGTATTCGAACCAACTCGAACCAGTTCTTAAGGGGTTCAACATTCATCTAACCTATTGCTATTTCTTTCTGAGTTCAATGCTAAAACCAGAGAGAATTTCAAACATGAATGCCTGTGCACCTCTTTGCAGTCTGGTCTTGAGGTCTCTTTTTTGCAACGCATATCTGACTGCATCCACAGGCTTTTTTGATGCTGATTTAATCATGCAGAAATGTAGGATCTGACCTACCATTGAAACATGTTTATTACGTTTATTAAGAAGTAATAGTACAGTTTTGGAAAAGGTTTGATCTAGCCTTCCTTCTGTTAGGGATTTCCTCAGTTGAAACTTTTTATTTTAGATTTGTTTAAAAGTCTGTAGAGATTCTTGGTTATCCAGGTCCTGGTTGTCCCAAAGGTGCTTTTTCAAGGAAGCAACTGGACTTCCTTGTTTTTTCTTTTGAAGACGTTTCGCTTCTCATCCAAGAAAGCTTCTTCAGCTCTGACTGGATGGTGGGGAATGGAAGGATTTATATTCCTTGCAGACAGCTGGTCATTTGCATCCTTTTAGAGGGTCCTTGAAGCACTTGGGGGTTTATCTGTGTCCTCAGGGTCACCTGAGTGGTGCAAATAGTTCCTGTAGTCTGCAATCCCTCTGGAAATCCGTTCATACTCCCGCAACATTCGAAGAGTGTTCATCCCAAATTGCATAGCTAAAAGTCTGTAGTGATTCTCAGTCATTCAAGTCATGGTCGTCCCAAAGGTGCTTTTTTCAGGAGGCAACTGGACTTTCTGGTTTTTTCTTCGAAGACTTTTCTTTTTAGATTTGTTTGTATCCCGCCTTTTGTTATTTTTACAAATAACTGAAGGTGGTGGTGAACTCATCCAATACGTCTCCCTCCTCCTATCTTCACAACAAACCTCGGAGATGAGTTGGACTGAGAGACAGTAACTGGCCCGATGTCACCCAGTTATGTCAGGACTAGAACTCACAGGTTCCTGGTGATTGGCCAAAGTCAGGGGTCGGCAACTTTAAACACTCAAAAAGCCAAAAAGGTCCTAACCGGAAGCCCCCAGTTCAATTCTGGAGCCGACCGGAAGTCCGGTTCCCCACCATAGAGTCTCCTAGCGCGGCATCCTTTTTCCTCTACCTGTCCTAACTGAAAAGCCTATCAATTGTGGAGCTGACCGGAAAACCTGCTCTTTTCCCTAGAGTCTCTTCCTGGTGCGCTGTGCTTTTCCTCCCCATAACCGGAAGCACCTCTCAAAATTGTGGTGGCGACAGGGAGCCGCAGCAGAGGGATGAAAGAGCCACATGCGGCTCCAGAGCCGTGGATTGCTGACCCCTGGCCAAAGTCATCCAGCTGGCTTTCATGCCTGAGGCAGGATTGGAGCTCAAAAGTTTATAATTTAAAACACTGCTTCTTTTTTCTTGAAGGTAGACGTCCTGATAAGCCAATGCGATTATGGCATTACGAACGTCAGAATACACCATCGGCGGTGTAAAAATTCTCTTCCCTTGTAAGGCGTATCCATCGCAACTTGCTATGATGAACGCAGTAAGTCTGAAAAGCAATGATTTTATAGCAGTCGTTGTAAGGCTATGCTTAAGGGTGGTGCGGTGGCCTAGAGATGGCGCTCTCGCCTCATGATCAGGAGGCTGTGAGTTCGATCCTAGGTAGAGGCAGATATTTCTCTCTCTGGGCTCAATGAGAATATCTCCTGAATATAACTCTGCACTGGCGACAGGAAAGGCATCTGGCCAGTAAACACTCAGCTCCGTTCAGTTGCCCAGATTCCACCCCACAAGGGATTATGGGGTTGTTAAAAGAGGATGATGATTGTAAGATTATGCTTAAGCCTCTACAAAAGTATTTCTCAACCTTGGCAACTTCAACTCCCAGAATTGTTAGGTGCATGCAGCCAATCAGCATGCTGGATGGGGAATTCTGGGAGTTGAAGTCCACCCTTCTTAAAATTGCCAAAATTGAGAAACATCACTCTACAGTTGCAAACAAGGATTTTCTCCAGCTTCCGTAAATTTTTTCCCCTGTCTTTCAACTTTTAAAAGCTTTGCTTGGTGTTTGTTTTTCAAAAATAAAAAAAGAAAAGCAACAGGATTAAATCCAAACCTTTTAAATCATAGTGAAAATTATTAGCCCCATTTTTTTTTTTTTATGCCCTGGTGGTTAAATTGAATCACTGCAATTGTTAAGTGGATCACATGGTGGTTAAGCAAATCTGGCTTCCCTCATTACTTTGTTGGTTGGGCACTGGCTGGGAAGGTCGCAAATGGTGAGTGCATGACCTTGGGATTCTGCAGTCTATTTAAGTCAGAAATGGAAAGTTTTTAATATAGTACTGAGGTCGGGGAGTCAGGACCCAGCCTTTCACACAGAGTAGAAATTGCATTTGCCGTCGAAATTCCATGTTTTGAAATAGATAGCTGTCTATTATTATTTTTCAAATTTGTTTCTGCTGTGAATCAAATTAGGGAAACAGTTTGAAAGCGACAGGTAAAGCAGATCTTCTTAGTTGCCATCTTACAGCAAAACATATATTAAAAAAAAAAAAAGGCGGCAGCTTGTTTTCCGTGCTAGCGAAATTCATTTCCTTCTTTACAGATTGTGAAGGGGCTGAGCTCCAAGCAACACTGCCTGCTGGAGAGTCCCACTGGAAGTGGGAAAAGCTTGGCCCTGCTCTGCTCTGCGCTGGCCTGGCAGCAGTCGCTCTATGGTGAGGCCTTGGGTGGGCCTGTTTGAGCCCATCAAGACTCTCCTTTTGGCTTCATTCTTCCTGCTGATTTTATCTATGTCTATCCATCTGTCCATATCTATCCATTATTTATCTCCATCCATCTATCTATACTATCTGTTGGTTGGTCTGTCTGTCAGTTTCTCTCTCTCTCTCTCTCTCTCTCTCTCCTACCTTACCTACCTATCATCTATCTCTATCCATCCATCCATCCATCCATATCTATCCATATCTATCCGTCTATCTATCTATCTATCTATCTATCTATCTATCTATCTATCTATCTATATCTCTATCATCCATCTCTCTCATCTATCTATTTATATCTCTTTATCTCTATCATCCATCTCTCTCTGTTTCTCTCTAACATCTATCTATATCTATCTATCTATCTATCTATCTATCTATCTATCTATCTATCTATCTATGTCATCCATCTCTCTCTCTCTATATATATCATCTCTATTTATATCTATATCTCTATCATCCATCTCTGTCTCTCTCTATCATCTATCTATCTCATCTATCTATTTATATCTCTATATCTCTATCATCCATCTGTCTCTCTCTCTCTCTCTCTCTTCTATCTATCTATCTATCCATCTGTCTCTGTCTCTGTCTCTGTCTCTGTCTCTCTCCTATCTATCTCTGTCTGTCTGTCTGTCTATCTATTTATATCTCTATCATCCATCTCTCTCTCTCATCTATCTATCTATTTATATCTCTATATCTCTATCATCCATCTCTCTCTATCTCAGATCTATCTATCTCTCTATCTATCTCTATATATATATCATCCATCTCTCTCTATATATATATCATCTCTATCTATTTATATCTATATCTCTATCATCCATCTCTCTCTCTGTCTCTATCATCTATCTATCTCATCTATTTATATCTTTATATCTCTATCATCCATCTGTCTCTGTCTCTATCTCTCTCTCCTATCTATCTATCTATTTATCATCTATCTATTATCTACCTTGTCTGCTGTTTAGAAAAACCACTGGATGACTTGTGCTCAAAAGAATGCAAGAAGACCGAGGCTTTGAAACTCTGCCGATGCCCATGCCATGCTAAATCGTCCGGTCAGGATCCAGAAGGAGGCTGCCAAACCACGTCTTCTTTCTTCCCCAGTCACGCAATGGAGACCTCACTAGACGGTGGAAGTAGCTCAACCAACAAAGGTATCATCTAAGGGGCTTTAGAGGACACAACCCTCCTTTATACTAGAATAACAGTGATGGAAGGGGACCTTGGAGGTCTTCTACTCCAACGCCCTGTTCAAGCAGGAGACACTTTACCATTCCAGACAAGTGGTTGTCCAGTCTCTTCTTAAAAACCTCCAGTGTTGGAGCATTTACAACTTCTGGAGGCAAGTTGTTCCACCGATTAATTGTTCTCACTGTCAGGAAATTTCTCCTTAGTTCTAGGTTGCTTCTCTCCTTGATCAGTTTCCATCCATTGTTCCTTGTCTGGCCTTCAGGTGCTTTGGAGAATAGGTTGAGCCTAGTAGTGGGATTCACTTACCTTTGCTACCAGTTCGCAAATGTGAACGCACACGCCACGTCTGCGTGGGCGCAGAGCCTCCTGCACATGTGCAGAGCCTCCTGGTTCACCTAAACCGGATAGAACAGAAAGGAATCCACCAGTGGTTGACCCCCTCCTCTCTGTGGCAGCCCCTCAAATATTGGAAAACTTGCTATCCTTTCTCCCCTGGTCCTTCTCTTCACTAGACTAGCCTTGGTCATAAAAAATGATCATAAATCACTTTTTTTCAGTGCCGTTCTAACTGAGTGGTCATTAAGTGAACTTTGTAAGTCGAGGAGGACTACCTGTATTTCCTTCTTGTCTGCCAGGTTACATTTTTCTGTTGAATTGGATGCTTATAAAATTGTTTTGTGTTTCATAGACTCCTCTAAGGTTCTACATTTAGGGAAGAAAAACAAAATGCGCAGGTACAGTATATGTGGTACCTCACTCAATAGTAGTAACTGAAAGGGATCTTGAGGATAATCGCTTAATATGAGCCAGCCGTGTGCAGCAGCTGCCAAAAAAGCCAACACAGTTCTAGGCTGCATCAACAGAGGGATAGAATCAAGATCGCGTGAAGTGTTAATACCACTTCATAAGGCCTTGGTGAAGTCACACTTGGAATATTGCATTCAGTTTTGGTTGCCACAATACAAAAAACAGATGTTGAGACTCTAGAAAGAGTGCAGAGAAGAGCAACAAAGAGGATTAGGGGGCTGGAGGCTAAAACATATGAGGAACGGTTGCAGGAATTTGGGTATGTCTAGTTGAATGAAAAGAAGGACCAGGGGAGACATGATAGCAGTCTTCCAATATCTCAGGGGTTGCCACAAAGAAGAGGGAGTCAAGCTATTCTCCAAAGCACCTGAAGGCAGGGCGAGAAGCAACGGGTGGAAACTCATCAAGGAGAGAAGCAATTTAGGACTAAGGAGAAATTTCCTGACAGTGAGAACAATTAACCAGTGGAACAGCTTGCCTCCAGAAGTTGTAAATGCTCCAACACTGGAAGTTTTTAAGATGTTGGATAACCATTTGTCTGAAGTGGTGTAGGGTTTCCTGCCTAAGCAGGGGGTTGGACTAGAAGACCTCCAAGGTCCCTTCCAACTCTGTTATTCTAGAGGATTGCCTTTGATTTATTGTTATTGCAGAAAGCGTCTCACGAACTACATTGGCTTCAAAACTCTCTGCCAAACAGCAAGCCTCATTCTATGAAGATGACAGCGACAATGATTTTAAAGTGGAAAGGAAGAGGATTCGTTCACTTGAAACAGAGCAGCAGGTGGGCAAAATATATGCAGGCAGTCCTCATCTTACAACTGTTTGCTCAGTGACCGTTTGAAGTTACAACGGTACTAAAAGAAGTGACCTCTGGCTGTTTTTCACACGACCGTTGCAGCATCCCTGTGGTCACATAATCAAAATTCAGATGCTTAGCAACTGTCTCATATTTATGATGATTGCCGTGTCCCTGGGTAGTCCTCAACTTACATCCATTTGTTACAAATACTGGTTGTAAATCCTAAATTACGAGTGCATGACAGTGAAGAACAGGGCTGTCAAACTCCCAGGCTGCGGGCCGGATGCGTCACACACTCGACACACTCATGCCCGGTTTAGCGAAAGGGGGGGAAAAAGTCCGGATATGTCATGTGGCGCTGCCGTGACGACGTGAGTTTGACACCCCTGGTGAAGAACATGTCCCATTGTGCCAGCTTTTCAACACCTTTTCCTCTTCAGGGAAGATCTTTCCATGCCATTGCCTGCAATGTGCTACTTGGCGCAAAAGAGACCTTTTTCCCAGTGGCTGTTGTGCTTTCTGACAGTGACCTCATCTCTTGAGGCATGGAGGCTCAGTGGCTTAATGATGCTGAAGACGGTCTCTGCTCCAGCGGTTCGAGTCCTAGCACTGTGTGGCAGGGTGAGCTCCCGTCACTCGCCTCAGCTTCTGTCCACCGAACAGTTTGGAAGCATGTTCTCTGCGAGTCGATCAGGAGTGTCAAACTTGATTTCATTGAGGGCCACATCAGGGTTGTGTTTGATCTCGGGCTGAGTAGGGGTGACTGGGGTAGGGGTGGCCAGTTTGACGTTCTGCAGCCTTCACGCCCCCCCCCCCCGGCTCCATTTTCGGCTGTGCTGGCCTCCTGCAGCCCTCTGCCAGTGAAAATGGAGCCTGTTTTCTCTGGCAGAGGTACCACAGGCTGGTCCTTTGCGGTTTCCAAGGCAGCCCCGCAAACCAGATCTAAGCACCCTGCGGGTTAAATCCTGCCCGCAGGGCTTGAATTTAGCATCCCTGGAATAGATAAATATGTACCACTTCAGTGGGGAGACAAGTTGGTGCTCTGTGCAGGCAGTCAGATTCCTGCTGGCTCTGAACCTTCCCATTTGCGATGCCTGTTTGCGAGGTGGTTTCCGGGAAGGGAAGGGGCCTCGGGTGGCACTGCAGGAAGAGGTGCTTGCCTTTCTTCTCTGGTGCAAAGCCAGCTCACCCTCCTTTGGCACACCTTGGGAAGCACACGGGCATTTTCTAGAACATGGGACAACTTGCCCTGGGCAACTCGTTGCAAGACAATCCAACCATTCAATTTAATTATTTAAAATAATTTTAAAAAACAATTTTAATTTTTGTCATTCCCATTTCATTTCGTCCCTCCTTTGGCGTCCTTTAATTATTTTTTTCCACTATTTCTTCGATATTAGTGTAACTCTTGGGTGAATTGGCTGTGGTGAGTTGTTGTAGGCCCAAACAGAGCTGGTACCTTGCCAGCCAAACTACTACTCAGCAATTGCATTGTGGTCTCCTGGCTACTATAAAAACGCCATATACCAGGGTGGATTTGATTTAAATCGAGTCGATTTAAATCACAATTTAAATCATGATTTAAATCCCTAGTAAAAAGGCTTAATTTAAATCGACTTGATTTAAATCATATTTTTTAAAGAGCAACTGTCATCTCTGCTACTCCTTTGACCCACTGTTGACTCACCGATAGTCCCAGTGTTGCAGAATATACAGCCTCCTGCTCAGGGCTGGATTTTCCTATAGGCTAACTAGGCTTCAGCCTAGGGCCTCAAGATCAAGAGGGGCCTACACAGTGGTGGGATTCTGGGGGTTCTAGGGGGTTCGGCCGAGCCCTTTGTTAAATTGCTGGCTCGCCTGCCCCTCGCCTCCCACCCGCGCGGCGCCAGCCTACCGTAGCCAGGGGTGGGCAATTGTGGCTTTTACAACCTGTGGACTTCAACTTCCAGAATTCCTGAGACAGCTTGGCTTTTGTGCATATGGACTACTCAGGGGGCTGAAAAAGTTATTTTTGACTGGTCCTCGCACTTTTGACCAGTCCTCGAACTTACGACTGTCCTCACATTTTACGTTTTTGCCCTATCTTGTGACCATGGTGAAGAAAAGCAGTTGTGAAATGAGTGACATGGTTGTTAAGAAAGCTGCATGGACATAAATGTGAGGATGGTCATAAGTGTGAGGACCGGTCAAAAGTGCGAGGCCCAGTCAGAAATGACTTTTTTCAGCCCTCTGAAAAAAGTCTATGCACATAGCCACGCCCACCCGGTCACATGACGAGCTACCCACGCCTACACAGTCACGTGACCAGCTAGCCATGCCCACCCAGTCACATGATTGCCAAGCCACACCTCCAACTAAGCCACGCCCACAGAACCTGTTGTTAAAAAATTGAATCCCACCACTGGTGAAAGGGCCTCATAAGTGGAATAGCCTAGGGCCTCTTTCAATCTAAATCCGGCCCTGCTCCTGCTACATAACTAAGCTCCATTTCATGCTGAATAAACTAAATTATTTACGTATCTTAAATAGAAAACTATCTTACGATAGATTTTTACCCCAAAAGTTTTTTATTAAAATAAATTCGATAAAAATCAAAAAAATCCGATTTAAATAAAAAAAAAATCGATTTTTTTGATTTTTTTAAAAAAATCATTTATTTTTATCCACCCTGCCATATACTACTCCTACTACTAATAATAATAACAACAACAACTTCATCTTTTTAACTTTCCCAACACTCTGTTGCTGTTTCTTTTTTTAATGGCTTGTTTTTATTACCAAACCCCCCCCCCCATTTTATGTTGGGGGGCAATATGCTGACTCTGTAAACCGCTTAGAGAGGGACTGTAAAGCACTATGAAGCGGTATATAAGTCTAAGTGCTATTGCTCTTGCTATTTGGGGAGGAAAAAAAATAAAACATTGCTTTTTTTAGACTTTTGGCATCCCCAATTCAAAGGCATGTTTGCATGGCTTATAGGTGAGAAAACGACACCGGCTGACTATAGGAACCCAGCTAGTGGATGCTTTGGAAGTTCATGAACAGCAGAAAAATGGGGAATTGACAGTGACTCCCGGAAAAGCAGATCCTCCCTCACTTAAAACAGTAAGTGCGGTAATACTAGGATATTTAAAAAAAATAAAAAATAAAGTAAAGACAAATTGCGCTGCTTTGTGTTCAGAGTTCAGCTTTGTGAAAAGGTGCTTGGATTTTCTTGCCTCCTATTTTAGTTGCAGGTAGTCCTTGACTTATGACCATTCGAGTTATGACGGACCCTCCCAAATTTACAGTTCTAAAGTTACAACACCCCCTCCCTCATCATATGGCCACGTTTTTAGGTGTTGTTTATATTTTGTATTCCTTAACTGCCCACCTCCCTCAGTGACATGTTTTTGTTTTTATTTTTTATTTATTAAACTTATATGCCATCCCTCGCTAATCCAAAGTGAACTTCACTTCTGGTTTTTGGCAAAAACGCCCCATAGAGAACATAGGGCTTTTCTTAACGACTGTAGCATTCATTTAACGACTGCTGCAAAAAAAGATGATAAAATCAGATGGCTTATCTTGGTTTGTTAACTTGGTCTGTTGTGTGGATGTTTGGGTGGTTTAGGGGTGGGGAATTGTGGTGGGTGGGAGTCGGTGGTGGATTCCGCTCGGTTCGGCCGAGCTGGTAGCGGTGACGATATGACGTCACCGAACCGGTTCTCTTTGTTCGGGAGCTGGGCCCTCCTGCCCGCCCCTGCGTTATTCCTACCTTTTATTTCTTCTTTTTTAGCCCAGCTGATTGGTGCGGCAGAGTGGATTGTTGCACCTCAGCTGGGCAGATTCGTAACGCGGTTGCGCAGAGTGCAAGTTTGGCACTCATGCGAGCGAAGCACGTGCACGAAGAGGCGATCGCGCACGAAGAGAACCGATAGTAAAGCTGGTTAGAAGTGAGCCTTGGTAGTACAGTGGTCTAAAGCACCCTGTTATTAAGACCAGCTGCCTGCAATTACTGCTGGTTCGAATCTCTCCAAGGCTCAAGGTTGACTCAGCCTTCTATCCTTTCTAAGGTAGGTAAAATGAGGACCCAGATTGTGGGGGCAATAAGCTGACTTTGTATAAATATACAAAAGGATGAAGGCTATTGCTTAACGCATTGTAAGCCGCCCTGAGTCTCCGGAGAAGGGCAGCATATAAATCAAATAAAAAATAAAAAATAAAAAAAATAAAATAAAATAAAGTGCTGTTAAATAGCACTTAGCTGCCAGCTGCCTGCAATTACTGTAAGTTCGAATCTCACCAGGCTCAAGGTTGACTCAGCCTTCCATCCTTTTGAGGTAGGTAAAATGAGGACCCGGATTGTGAGGGAAATAAGCTGACTTTGTATAAAAAAGAACACTGCTTGGGGGGGGGGGGCGAAAGCCCTTCTAAGCGGGTATATATAAAAGTATGAAGGCTATTGCTTAACGCATCGTAAGCCGCCTTGAGTCTCCGGAGAAGGGTGGCATATAAATCGAACCAATAAATAAATATTGCCCCTGAAAGAAATCATGTAGTAATTTCTTAGAAAGTAGGTTTTGGAGTCTTGATTCATTCGTCTGTAGAGATTCTCAGGGATGCAGTGGCTCAGGGGCTAAGACGCTGAGCTTGTCGATCAGCAGTTCAGCGGTTCGAATCCCTAGTGCCGCATAACGGAGTGAGCTCCTGTTACTTGTCCCAGCTTCTCCCAACCTAGCCGTTTGAAAGCACGTAAAAAGTGCAAGTAGAAAAATAGGGACCACTTTGGTGGGAAGGTAACAGCGTTCCATGCGCTGTTGAGTCATGCTGACCACATGACCACGGAGACTTCTTCGGACAGCGCTGGCTCTTTGGCTTAAAAACAGAGATGAGCACCGCCCCCTAGAGTCGGGAACGACTAGCACATATGTATATGTGCAAGGGGAACCTTTACCTTCATTTTTTAGAGATTCTCAGTCATCCATGGTTGTCCCAAAGGTGCTTTTTCAGAAAGCAACTGGACATTCTTGGGGTTTTTTTTTTCTTTTGAAGACATTTCGCTTCTCATCCAAGAAGCTTCCTCAACTCTGACAAGATAGTAGGGAATGGAAGGATTTATATTCCTTGCAGACAGCTGGTCATCTGCATCCTTTTAGAGGGTCCTTGAAGCACTTGGAGGTTTATCTGTGACCTCCGGGTCACCGGAGTGGTGCTCCTGGTTCCTGTAGTCTGCCATTTTTCCTCTGGAAATCCATTCCTACTCCCACACGTTCAAAGGGGGTTCATCCCAAATTGTATAGCTAAAAGTCTGTAGAGATTCTCAGTCATCCAAGTCACGGTTGTCCCAAAGGTGCTTGAGAGATTCAAACTCTCAAGAAGAACAAAACCAACCAAAAAATAAAGACGAAGAATAAGAAGTAAAAGATACCAATCAACAACAACAAGAAAGAGAAGAGCCTAAGACAGCGATCAGAACAGAAAGGAAATAAGAACAAAGAGAAGACAAAAAACGAGATATAATTAGGGTTATGGCAAAAGAGGTGAAACTCTTATCTATTAACATAAATGGACTAACTCAACGACAAAAAGAAAAAAGATTTTGGCAAACTTAATAAAACAAAATGCAGATATTATATGTTTACAGGAAACACACATCTTAAAAACAGGCGAAAAATATTTAGATTGCCCCAAATTCGGGACTCTGTTTACAGTTTCTGCAGATCAGGAGAAAAAGAAAGGAATAGCTGTCTACATTAAAGAAGAGATAAAGGCAAACTTAATATTTGTAGACCCCAAAGGAAGAATTCTGGCAATAGAAATAAAGATAATTTTAAAAAAAATTTATTAGTGGTAATTTATGCCCCCAATGACAATCAAAAAGAATTTTACAAAACCTTATATGATAAAATTATTGAATTAGAAAGAAAAAATATTTGCATCATAGGAGATTATAATGCGATAACAGATTATCAAAAAGACTACAATGGGGGAAAGAAGAAAGGGGAGGGAAAAAAGAGAGAACTATCCAAAATATATGTAGAAATGACCAAAGGTGCTTTTTCAAGGAGACAAATGGACTTCCTTGTTCGTTTTCTTTTGGGGATTTATTGCAACGTTTTTCAAACATTGCTGGCAGCTTTAACACACCTGGACTTCAACTCCCAGCCACGCTTGCTGGGGAATTCTGGGAGTTTTAAGTCCACATGTCTTAAAGTTGCCAAGTTTGAAAAACATTCTTTACCTTCCCTAAAACAATTCAGGTTGGCAAAAATGCCTGGGCAATTTTAGATAGCAGTTTACAAGTTGTATTAGAGAAGCAGTAGAAATCCATTCCACCAAGCAATAAAGCACCAAAAACATTAACAGTCGGAAGATCAGCCACAAAGTCATTACAAAACAAAAAACAAAAAAACCGCAATTCCAGCCATGTGAGCAAAAAGTGCAATTCAAGAGAATCGAGACTCCAGGGGTTACAAAAGGTCAAAGATTGGAACCCCCGAGTAGCTAATTTAGACCCCAAATCATTTATTTTTACATTCATTGGCTTTGCTGTTTTAATGTTCTTGCTTTTGAGACGCTTCTAAAACTCAACTGTTAATCCTTGGAGATTAACCCCAAAAAAGGACTGTTTGTGTGCACAAGTAAACCCGTTAATCCTTAGTAAACCTTTCCAGCAATTTGGTGACCCCAGACCTACTGAATCACTCCGTCTTAAGCTCTTTGAGGCTTTGTTGAGGGTCAGGCTGAGATCAGAAGCCGTCTCCCCATCAGTGGTTCAGATCTTCCTGACATTGTGTCTCCTAAAGACTTGGGCCTTTGGGATGGCGGTTGAATTCATCCATTGGGAGATCTAAGAGTTGGGACATTTCCCTCCCCCCCCCAGACAGTTACTTGGGATCTCCTCCGAGACGGATGATTTTGAACTCATTTGGTTCAATTCTCCATGGACCAAAGAGCCTTAAAACCCCCAGAGCCATTCCGTCTTGCCAGGGTTCAGTTTCAGCCCTGTGGTTCCTCATCCATCCCTATAACTTTAGGTCACCCGTCCGAAGCAAGTATGTATTATTTTATTTTATTTTACTTTATTTTATTTTATTTTATTATTTTATTATTTTATTTTATTTTATCTAGTTTTTAAATTTTGTGTATTTATGTATTTTATTGCTTGGCTGTTCACCACCCTGAGTCCTTCGGGAGTAGGGCGGTATACAAATCAAATAAACTAAACTAAACTAAACTAAACTAAACTAAACTATTTTATTTTATTATTATTTTATTTTATTTATTTATTTTATTTTATTTTATTTTATTTTATTTTATTATTTTATTTATTTATTTTATTTTATTTTATTTTATTTTATTTTATTTTATTTTATTTTATTTTATTATTTTATTTCCATAGCGCCCTTCTCCCGAAGGACTCAGGGCGGTGTACAGCCTGATGAAAAGCACAAAGACCGACAAAATTTAAAAATAATTTAAAATGATTAAATAATTGGCTCAATTATAAAACCCCCAAATTTAAAATCCCATATTTAAAACCAATTAAAATCTTTACATTGATAGCCCGGCCTGGCGGAACAACAAGGTTTCGAGGGCACAGCGAAATACATGGAGGTTGGAGATCTTACGCATTTCTGGGGGCAGTTCATTCCAAAGGCAGGGGCTCCCACAGTGGTGGGTTTCAGCATCTCACCCCCATCTTCATTATTTATTTGAGGCGCTCTGGAATCAGAATCATGAAAACCGGGGTCCTTGGTGGTCTCTGAGCTTGGGTGTTTTCTTGCAGACTGATTGAGCACTGATGATGTTACCTAGGATGGGTCATGAAACATCTGCAAGAAAAACAACCAAACTCAAGAGAGCACCAAGAATCCCACAGTCCTCCTCTTCCTCCTCCTCTCTGTAAACCCCACTCCCTTCTAGCACTGATGATGTTACCTAGTTGGGTCATGAAATGTCTGCAAGAAAACAACCAAGCTCAGAGAACGAGGACCCCACAGTCCTCCTGCTCCTGCTCCTCTCTGTAAACCCCACTCTCTTGTAGCACTGATGATGTTGCCTAGTTGGGTCATGAAACATCTGCAAGAAAACAGCCAACCTCAGGGAGCTCCAAAATACCC